ACTTAAGTTTATGGTTTAAAATATCAATATTTGAGACGTAGCTTTAAACTTGAAATATCACAAAATTGAGAGATGACCCTTCAGTTGGCATTAAGATTGAAATTTGATTATGTATTTGGATTGTATTACTTATACTTAACTCGAAAATATAATTTGTTCGAGATTTGACCATGTTGATTGGGAGATGACTGTTTAGTTAACTTTGACTCGATATTCCAAAAACTATAAAATGACCTCGGTTAGCATGCTTAACATCGTTTATTAATATTTTACATAGATTTAAGTCATTGAAGAATGTTTGGTTGGTGTTCTAGACGCTACAAAGTTGGGAAACTTCACTAGTGAGGTAAGTGAGACTTTAAGCTTTGATATTTGCTTTTCTAAAACTCGTTTTGAAAGTGTATTTTCTCTGTCTGGTCCATGCATTGGGACAAGCGTGCGCTTGCAGAGTCGGTGGTCTTAGACTAGCTGCAAATATATTATTTCATGAAAAAAAATATATTATTTTATAAGTTGTTTGATAGTATGATACGGTTGTGCGCCATGATATTAAATTTGATACGGATGTGCGCCATGATATTGAGTTTGATACGGGTGTGCGCCATGATATTGAGTTTGATACGGGTGTGCGCCATGATATTAAGTTTGATACGGCTGTGCGCCATGATGTTGAGTTTATACGGCTGTGCGCCATGATGTTGAGTTTGATACGGTTGTGCGCCATGATGTTAAGTTTGATACGGCTGTGCGCCATGATGTTGGGGCATTGTGTATGCCTTTGTACATCACCCGAGCATTGGTATGCTCTGTTACATATTTGAGGCATTGTGGTGCCATTGTGGACTCGTAAGTGTGTTGGTAAATTTCTTTCGCTGCAATTATGATAAGTCCTTAGTGGGTATCCTTGTTGGTCAATTCTTAATAACACTGTTGATACACATATATTGAGTTATTGTATAATGATCATATTTACTATATTATCCGTATTGCATTGTGTTTGTATTTTCTAACACTTGTCCCAAAGGTATTTAAAGTGACGGGACGAGGATCTTACTGGGTTATATTTACGTATAACTCACTCCTTAACTGCATCTCTATGCAGATACCGTTGCGGGAGATAGAGCTAGTGGCTGACGAGTTTGTTCGAGTGGATCTTATTGCTGAGGTGAGCCACCGCATTGTTCGTGGAGACTTTTGTTTCAGATTTACCTAGTTCGTGTTACTTATTTTTTTTTTCTTTGGGGTTTGCAAACCCGTCAATAAACCTCATATTACTCTATTAGATACTCCATGGTCTTAGTGTGGGATTTGGGCTAGAGTTTTATTAATTGAGTGATTGTTGGTTTTTCTATCAATTGACTAAGGCATTGGCGATAATCATTTCCTCTTTAATTATTAATAATACTATTAGGTCTGTATTTTTCTCCCAGTATTTATGTAAATGGTTAAACGTTAAAGAAAGGGGTTCGTCTGGCAGGTGGTGTTAGCTGGGTGCCAGTCACGTCTAGGGGGTAGTTTGGGACGTGTCAACCGCATCTGCGGGTCCGCAGGTGTGGTTCCTATTCAGCATCTGCGGTTTCTGACCTCTTTCCTCAAATCCGCATCTGCGGAAATTCCTTCGCATGCGATGCCGCACCTGCGGTCCCCAAACCGCAGGTGTGGAAATACCAGAAGCAGCAATCATCTGAAATCTCTTAAGTCCAAAATCTTCCCGTTAACCATCTGAATTCACCTCGAGGCCCCCGGGACCTCAACCAAAAGAACCAACATGACCCAATACCTTATTCAAACTTGTTCCAATCATCAAAGCACCTCAATTAACATCAAATTACTCAAAACACATCGGATTCAAGCCTAATGTTTGAGAAATCTTCCGAAATACGTTTTCGATAAAAAACTCAACCAAAACATGTCTGAATAACTTGAAATTTTGTACACACATCCCAAATAACATAATGAAGCTACTACAACTCTCGGAATTCCATTTCGACCCCTGGATCAAAACCTCACCTACCAACCGAAAATCGCCAAAATATCAACTTCGCCAATTCAAGCCTAATTCTACTTCGGACCTCCAAAACACATTTCGATCACACTCCTAAGTCACAAATCACCTTCCGAAGCTAACCGAATCATCTGAACTCACATCCGAGCCCTCTAACACAATAGTCAACATCCAGTTGACTTTTCCAAATCAAAACTTATTAAAAGAGACTAAGTGTCTCATTCCTTACCAAATCCTCTCTGAACACAGTCTAATCAACTTGATCACATAAAACATGGATAACAGAGCATAAAGAAGCAGAAATGGGGGGAAACAGAGCGGTAACTTATGAGACGATTGGTTGGATCGTCACAGATGGTCTTGCTGAAAGACATATCTATACGACAGTACATAGAATGCTTATGAACAGTACTATCTGTAAAGTTAATAAAAATACATATAGGGTAATTGCAGAAATGATTATTGTCGGATTTACTGGTCAACTGAAAGGATGGTGGGATAATTATCTCACTTATGACCAACGTTTTCAAATAATGAACGCAACCAAGACTGAAGATGATAAGACTATTCAAAACTCAGTCTATTCTTTAGTCATGAATATCATCGAACACTTTTCTTGAAGATGGTCTCATAATAGTGAGACCATTAGAACGATGCTCCAGAATTTGAGGCGTAAAACCCTCACATCTTTCCGATGGTATAAAGATGTTTTCTTATCCAGAGTGATGGAATTACCAGTGAGTAATAGTATTCATTGGAAGTCATTTAATAGTAGTTTTCTTCCTAATGATATTCATTAAGAAAAATAGTGTTAAACTTAACTTCTAAGGTTTTTTACTAACATGGCTCTGATACCAAGGGGGTACATGATCGCTTCCGAATGGGGCTCAGAAAAGGCATTACAAGAACACCAGTCCTGGCCAATTACCAACCTCTAGGCAAACCTTAAACCATGATGCTCCTCACAACCCTTCAACGGCCACCTGCCTAAACGGGTTTACGAGCATCCGGCTTATGATAAATGTGGTAGAGTAGGCCATTACGTTAAGGATTGTAAAATCAAGGACAAGATGAAGGAACTTGATTTGGATGATCATATCAAATATTCTTTATGTAAGATTCTTTTAAATTCTTCTCCAGAAATATCTGACACTAACGAAGGTTCTTCATCGATAAGTAAAGACCTAAGGGTCCTTCATGAAGAAAGTTATAATTCATCTTCTGAAGAAGAGCAAGAGTTCTGTAATAAGGGACAATGCTCAAATCATTGTTGTAATACCGACGATGAACTTTTTAATATTTACTCCCAATTTAGAGACTTGAAGATCAATGTTCTATCTAACGAAAATTTGATTGATCTTTTAACGGTTATTAAAGACCCTAAATTAGGGTCCCAACTAATAGATAAGATTCCTACTAGTGCAGAAGTAGGAATAGAGGTGGAAGATATTCCATCTCAAAAAGGACCTTACACCATGTCTGAAATCAGAAAAATGGTAAAAAATAAGTCTCAGCCTGAAAGTCTTGCTACTGTCCAAGATTTAAGTATTGAGATAAATTATCTCAAGAAAGAAATCTCAGAATTAAAGGCTTCAAATGTAGCCTTAGATGAAAGGATTTTCAGATTAGAAAAGTCTGTGGTGATTAATAGTAATCCCAGTGTTTTCTTTGAATGCTTTAATACTTAGCATTAAATTACATGGATATGATTATTTGCCTGGTACAGAAGTTATATGTATCTGTTATAGGATTTATTTCAAACCGTTATGTACTTTGAATCCTATGTGCAAAATAATGGCTTTCAAAAATGAAACTATTCTTATAGAAACCAACTTTGGTAAATCCAAAGTAACCACCAGAAGACCTATCAAATGGGATGAAATTAATTTCCCTAAAGAATGGGTCATAGAGGAAGTTGTTGCCCCTCGAAACACTGGTAATACTGAGGTCACAGAAATAGAACAAACCTCAGATGGCACTGTTAAAATCAGGTTCAATGAACCCGATCAAACTGATAATATCAGTTTATCATCTATATTAACTAGATCAAACTCTTCATAAATTTCTCCAATTGATTATGTGGTATATTTTTCATTAAAAGCATCCACATCTCAAATTAGAAAAAATAAAAGAGTAAATGATGTCAGTATCAGTAGGGATAATATTGTCAAGATTAATAAAATTGCAGATCTTGAACCTACTCCATCCGATATGGATTTTTCAAATGGGTTTAAAAATGACTGAAAACCAAATAGATTTTAGTCTGGGTTCACCGGCAAGAAAAATAATTTTAGAAGAATTTTTAAAACCCAGATGGGCTGTTTTCAGAAAATGGTTTCATGAAAATAAGACTACCGAATTGGTACAATTTTTTACACATGACTTTTATACATACATTAGCAAGAAAAATAAAATTATTGCTTTTGTTCCATGGTCTATGTCTAAGCATGTTTATAACTATATTTCTGTATTAGAAAGAAATTATACGCTCACAAATGGAAATGTTGTTAATTCTATTTTTCCATCTCAACAATCTTTTCATACGGGGGAAAAAGATAAAATTATTTACTGCACTGCTTTTTCAAAAATATTTGAAAATAATATTGCTACAATAACTGCAAAGAACCTGAATATTATGCTTACTCAGAACAATTATACTAATATGTATGTCAGTATTCTGGGTGAACAGGTTATTAAGATCCATGAGAAATTGGACAAGCTTATAGCAGAGGTCCAAAAAATCCAACAGAAGGATAGTAAAGGTAAAGAGAAAATCGCTACTGCAAGTATCCAACCACCTCCTGAGGTAAAAGCCTTTAAATTGAAAAGTTTGGATGACGTAAGTCTAGAAAATATTGAAGAACTTCTTATTAAGAAGCTAGGTGAATTTAGATCTAGTCCTCTAAGTTTAGAGCATGCATCTACTAGCAATCTGAAAGTAGATGACGAGATTAATAAAATCTCTGAAAAGTATGCTTGAAAACCATACCAAAGAATGTTTTACTATCCAAGACCAACTCCTCAAGATGTCCTAATAGAAGAACAGGACAATGACCACTACCACCAAGGTTATAGTGGGTCAGATACCTATGAGTGGAATATAGATGGTCTTGCAGAAAGACAGATCTATACGACAGTACATAGAATACTTCTGTACAGTACTATCTGTAAAGTTAATAAAAAAACAAATAGAGCAATTGCAGAAATGATTATTGCCGAATTTAGTGGTCAGCTGAAAGGATGGTGGGATAATTATCTCACTCATGACAAACATTTTCAAATAATGAATGCAACCAAGACTGAAGACGATAAGACTGTTCAAAACTCAGTCTATTCTTTAGTCATGAATATCATCGAACACTTTTCTGGAAGATGGTCTGATAATAGTGAGAATGCTCCAGAATTTGAGATGTAAAACCCTCACATCTTTCCGATGGTATAAAGATGTTTTCTTATTCAGAGTGATGAAATTACCAGAGAGTAATAGTACTCATTGGAAGTCCAAATTTATAGATGGACTCCCTCCTTTATTTGCTAAAAGGATTCGAAAGGTTCTTAGAGGCATAGGAATGTGTATTGATTATAATAATTACTCATATGGTAAACTATTTAGTGTATGCACTCAGGAAGGTTTAGCTCTATGTAATAAGATCAAGCTAAACCAACAAATTAAGAAACATCGTCTCACTAAGAGACAACAATTAGGTCAATTCTGCGAACAGTTCGCCATTGATATACCTTCCAAGAAGAAGAAATCCCAAAAAGCGGATTTCAAAAGGAAAAAGGGTTCGCCGGAGAAACAGCAGGAAAAGACCCAAAGAAGAAAGGCTTTTCATAAAGCCAGAAAGGGTTTTATTAAATCCAAAAACCCTCAGGCCTGTTATAAATGTGGTAGAGTAGGCGATTACGCAAGGATTGTAAAATCAAGGACAAGATCAAGGAACTTGATTTAGATGACCATATCAAAGATTCTTTATGTAAGATTCTTTTAAATTCTTCTCCAGAAATATCTAACACAGATGAAAGTTCTTCATCAACAAGTGAAGACCTAATGATCCTTCATGAAGAAAGTTATACTTCATCTTCTGAAGAATAGCAAGAGTTTTGTAATAAGGGACAATGCTCAAATCATTGTTGTAATACCGACGATGAACTTTTTAATATTTACGCCCAATTTAGAGGCTTGAAGATTAATGTTGTATCTAACAAAAATTTGATTGATCTTTTAAGGGTTATTAAAGACCATGAATGAATTAAGGTCCCTACTAATAGATAAGATTCCTACTACTGCAGAAGTAGGAACGGAGGTGGAAGATATTCCATCTCAAAAAGGACCTTACACCATGTCGAAAATCAGAAAAATGGTGAAAAACAAGTCTCAACCTAAAAGGCTTGCTACTGTCCAAGATTTAAGTATTGAGATAAATTATCTCAAGAAAGAAATCTCGGAATTAAAGTCTTCAAATGTAGCCTTAGATGAAAAGATTTTCAAATTAGAAAAGTCTGTAGTGATTAATACAGATCCCAATGTTAAGATAACTGAGATAGACAATATTGCTAGTTCTTCAGAAGAAAAAACTGCTAATACTTTACTGGCAGTAATGGATTTTCTGAAGATGAATTTTTAGAAAAACTGCAATATTTTATCACCCAAAAGTTTTTAATAAAACTAACTCTTTTAATTGACTACAATTTCAAAAAAGAGTTTGTTGCTTTATTTGATAGTGGAGCAGATTTAAATTGTGTAAAAGAAGGAGTAATACCCTCCAGATATTTTCATAAAACCACTCACCGTTTCAAAAATGCTAGTGGTGGTGCAATGGGTATTTCATATAAATTACCTAGGGCTTATATTTGCCAACAGGATACATGCATTCCTGAAAATTTTGTTTTAGTAAAAGACATTGATAGGGATGTAATACTTGGTGTCCCATTTTTTATTAAATTAATGCCTTTTTATATTGGGATACAAAAGGTTTTACTGGTACTTACAATGGTAAGAGTATCACTTTTGAGTTTATAACTGAGCCAGTTCAAAGATTTTTAAATGAGATTATTTCTAATAATATTTCTTCAAAAGTCAATCAAATTGAATTTTTGAAAAATAAAACTTGTTCCATTACGATTGAACAGGATTTAAAAAATCATAAGTTATTAGAAAAAATTAATTTTCTCAAAAACCAATTTTCTACTTCTGTTTGTGGTGACCATCCGAGTCAATTTTGGAGTAGAAAAAAGAATATTATAAGTCTTCCTTATAAAGAAGACTTTTCTGAGGATAATATCCCTACCAAGGCTCGACCTTGTTAGATGAACTCTCAGTATTTGGAGTTATGCAAAAAGGAAATTGATTCCTTACAGCAAAAGGGTTAACTTAGACCCTCAAAGTCCAAATGGTCTTGTACCCCCTTGGTATTTTTACTCTCTGGTAATTCCATCACTCTGGATAAGAAAATATCTTTATAGCATCGGAAATATGTGAGGGTTTTACACCTCAAATTCTGGAGCATCGTTCTAATGGTCTCACTATAATAGACCATCTTCCAGAAAAGTATTCGATGACATTCATGACTAAAGAATAGACTGAGTTTTGAACAGATTTATCGTCTTCAGTCTTGGTTGCGTTCATTATTTGAAAACGTAGGTCATGGGACACCAAGTATTACATACCTATCAATGTCTTTTACCAAAACAAAACTTTCAGGAATGCATGTATCCTATTGGCAAATATAAGCCCTAGGTAATTTATATGAAATACTCATTGCACCACCACTAGCATTTTTTAAACGGTGAGTGATTTTATGAAAATATCTGGAGGGTTTTACTCCTTCTTTTACACAATTTAAATCTGCTCCACTATCAAATAAAGCAACAAACTCTTTTCTAAAATTATAGTCAATTAAAAGAGTTATTTTCATTAAAAACCTTTGGGTGATAAAATATTGCAGTTTTTCTAAAATTTCATCTTCAGGAAAATCCATTACTGGCAGTAAAGTATTAGCGATATTTTCTTCTAAAGAACTAGCAATATTATCTATCTCAGTAATCTTAACACTGGAATCTGTATTAATCACCACAGACTTTTCTAATCTGAAAATCCTTTTCAACAATCTTTTCATATAGGGGAAAAAGATAAAATTATTTACTGCACTGCTTTTTTAAAAATATTTGAAAATGATGTTGCTACAATAACTGCAAAGAACCTGAATACTATGCTTTCTCAGAACAATTATACTAATATGTATGTGAGTATTATGGGTGAACAAGTTATTAAGATCCATGAGAAATTGGACAAGCTTGTAGCCGAGGTCCAAAAAATCCAACAGAAGGATACTAAAGGTAAAGAGAAAATCGCTACTGCAAGTATCCAACCACCTCCTGAGGTAAAAGACTTTAAATTGAAAAGTCTGGATGACGTAAGTCTAGAAAATATTGAAGATCCTCTTATTAAGAAGCTAGGTGAATTTAGAGCTAGTCCTCTAAGTTTAGAGCATGCATCTACTAGCAATCTGAAAGTAGATGACGAGATTAATAAAATCTCTGAAAAGTATGCTCGAAAACCATACCAAAGAATGTTTTACTATCCAAGACCAACTCCTTAAGATGTCCTAATAGAAGAACAGGACAATGACCACTACCACCAGGGTTATAGTGGGTCAGATATCTATGAGTGGAATATAATTGGTCTTGCTGAAAGACAGATCTATACGACAATACATAGAATGCTTGTGTACAGTACTATCTGTAAAGTTAATAAAAATACAAATAGAGCAATTGCATAATTGATTATTGCCGGATTTACTGGTTAGCTGAAAGGATGGTGGGATAATTATCTCACTCATGACCAACGTTAAACTAGTTTGCACAGTCCCTATGAGAGACTTCTTCCAGTTCTGGTTTCTGCCATCTCTGAGAGCTGCTATAAAGCTTTCAGGTAAGCCTCTTAAAGTAAGTGGCTTAAAGGCGACTTGTATTAAGCCTGTATGTATGAATCTATGTGAATCCCTATAAGGGGCTAAATCACTTTCAGATAATAATTTGAACATAGCATGGTCACTATCTACAATGATAGTCTCTTCAGTAGTTTTAACTACTTTTTTTAAACCTATTCTTTCGAAGGTACCTAATTGGTATATTACCTTAGGTTTGATTAATGGGATAGTCCACTTATTAAGTAGGTCATATTGTTGAGGTAACTCATACTCCTCTTTCCTACTATTTTTAACAGTAATCTTCTTCCTAATGATATTCATTAAGAAAATAGTGTTAAACTTAGCTTCTAAGGTTTTTTACTAACATGGCTCTGATACCAAGGGGGTACAGGATCACAAGGGGATAAAGGATCGCTTCCGCCACACCTGTAATTATTTTGTCGGCCAGTTCTACTTTTTAGTTTTGTTTGTTTGTAGGTTGATCCACTATATAAGGATCATTTTCTATTCTTTAGAGGCAGGCGTTAGCCAAAGTATTAGCTCTGCCTTCTCTTTAGTCTCTCGCTCTACTTGTAAATAACCCCTTCTGTAATATTTTCCATTTTGAAATAAAATCAAAAATGTTGCTTGGCCACAACTAAGGGTCTCTAGTCTGGTTAGGCCAACATAACCGATGGTGCTCATAAACTCGTTTAGGTAGGTGGTCGTTGAAGGGTTGTGAAGAGCATCGTGGTTTAAGGTTTGCCTAGAGGTTGGTAATTAGCCCACTGGCATAACCAACTTGTACATCCCATTTCATTATCCACAGGATAGAAAATTCTATGAAAAAGTACATGGTAGCAATGCCCTCATGAAAGATATTATCCTTTTGAAATGAAATAATTTTGGGAGATATATCTACCCATTGAGAATATAAGATTTTAAATAGACTTGGAAGTATTTCTAATGATGGACCGTATAACTTTCACCATTTGAAGAACCAATTTGATACCAAGGGGGTACAGTATCGCTTCCGAATGGGGCTCGGGGAAGGGATTACAAGAATACCAGCCCTGGCCAATTACCAACTTCTAGATAAACCTTAAACCACGATGCTCCTCACAACCCTTCAATGGCCACCTGCCTAAATGGGTTTACGAGCACCACTGGTTAGGTTGGCCTAACCAAGGTTTACTGTCGAGACTAATAACTGCCTGGTCTATATAGTTCTTAACCAAAACCCCATCGGGTTGACACAGTAAACTCCTAACTACCAAACATGTATAGTAAATAACCTTCGAAAACCAAGTTTAACACTTACCTGTTTAGCCTATCATTTAGGCTAACAGTACTACAAAAATGGAAGAGGGAAGGAGGAGAACAGTACCAGACCAGAGACCCTTAGTTGTGGCCAAGCGACATTTTTGATTTTATTTCAAAATGGAAAATATTACAGAAGGGGTTCTTTACAAGTAGAGTGAGAGACTAAAGAGAAGGCAGAGCTAATACTTTGGCTAACGCCTGCCTCTAAAGAATGGCAAATGATCCTTATATAATGGATTAGCCTACAAACAAACAAAACTAAAGAGTAGAACTGGCTCACAATATAATTACAGGTGCGGCCGACAAGATAAAAAGATAAAGTCCTGTAATAACAAACAGACAAATTGCTTTATAAAAGCAGATTCCCTTCAATAATGGAGGGATCCTTTACTTTATTAAAGTTGTCTTTATTACCCAATAATTTATCTGATGGGGCCTTCAATAATTCAGACTTTGCTTTTCCCTTTGTCGTTTTTCTCCGAAGATTCTTCGGCATTTTCCTTCAGCTTTGCAAGGAAATCTTCAATTTCTTCAATATTGATTTTTGTGTCCGAGGGGATCTATACTTCACCTGCTACACATACTTCTTCATTTGAAGTGCTTCCAATGTAGGCCATAGAGATATCATCTCTGATTGTTGTTTCAAAATTTCTTGCTAGATCCTTTTTTATTTCTTCGAAGTACGAAGCAAGGATCTCTTTCTTCGATATAGCCCCTTT